GTCAAGGCCATTCAATGGGGGAGAAGAAACTCTTTGAACCAATTTATAATAGAAATTTGTACTAGAATAACTGGGTTTCCAAAGGTAAAAGAAGATGGAGTTTTACATCTACCTCATGCATTCACAAAAATGAACTCAAGAAGAATCATAGTTCTGAGTATAACAGTTGTAACATGAAGCTTCTAGCAGAAAACAGAGAGTATCTTTGCAAATTTGGGGCAGAAAAACTATTTTGAGAAGATTATAACAAGCACTTGGCATAAAAAAATTGGATGAATTGGACTTTTGTAATTCAAAATGAAAGTATTGTGTTTAGAAAATAACCCATAAAGAACTCATACAAATCAATAAAAAGACAAGTAAAAAAATAAAAAACAGACCTGAAAATTTATTTCAACAAAGAGGATTTAAAATGATCACACAAAAATATGTTCATCATAATTAGAAATTAGGGAAAATAAGATTAAAGCAACAATGAGATGACTGAAAAAGCCATGAAGATAGCTACATTTTTTTTTAATGCTTAGAACAACTAATGTTGGCAGATATTTACACTACCTCCAACAACTATACGTTGTTGGAGGTAGTGTAAAGTTGTTAAACCACTTCGAAAAGATGTATGGCCAAGTCTTATAAAGGTAAACTTACAACTATTCTCTGACCCAGCAGTTTCACTGCACAAAAGAACTTGCACAAAAATGTCTTTATTAATTAGAATCTCAAGTTGGAAACAATCCAGTGGAATGGATGAACAAACTGTGATATCTTTAAACCAAGCAAGGAAAAAAAATGAATTATTTATACATACAACAATATGGTTGATTCTCAAAAACATTATGTCTGGTAAAAGAAGCCAGGCACAAATGAATGCATACTGTGTGGCTGCATTTGTAGGAAGTTCCAAAACAGACAAAGCAATGGAGAAAGAAATTAGAACAATAATTGCTTGTAGGGGAGGGAAGGGGTGGACTAAAAGAGCTTTTGTGAAGTGATCAATATGTCTTATATCTTCACTGGGATGTTGATTATATTTTCAAAATTAATAAAATTGTACACTTGGTTGCATTTCATTGTATGTAAAATTCATCTTAAGGGGAAAAATAAAAACCCTGAAAAATCTCTTCTTTGCACAAAAGCCACCAAGTCCCGCCACCCACTTTCACACATCGAATTGCAAAAAAAGGGAAAACTAGCTTTTAGTGGGTATGTGAAACAACTGGAACTTGAATTCTCTGCTTGTCGGAGAATTTGCCACCAGTCATTTTAAAGAGCATTTGGACAACACTGAATACAGTTGAATGTGTGCACATGGCCCCAGCAATTGCACTGCCAATTGTGTACCCTGCAAATACACATGGGAACAGGAATAGTCAAAGCAGCAAATCTGTACTAGTTTTAAAGTAGAAAGCTTGTGATGCACACCAATAGGAAAACAATCAAATCAAGGACTGGCCATGCAACTGAATATCAAATAGCAGTGAAAATGAAAGATCTACTTTCATCAATGAGGACGATTCTCAAAATAAACACAGAGTTAAAGGAAGAAGACATACTGCATCATGCCACTTATATAAATTTGGAAAATATAAAAGCTCAATTAAATAAACTCCCTATTCATTTATGCATAACAAGCATAGTATGAAAACATGAATGAATAATAAGTATGAAATTCAGTACCATGGTTACCTTTAGGGAGAAAAAGAGGGTGCACAGGGGCTCCATCTCTACTTGAAATGTGTTATTTTTAAAATCTGAAGCAAATGTGGAAAATATTAAGATCTGTTATGCTTGGTGGTAGATGCAGGGTATTTTATTTGAGATACTACTCTGCATACATTTCTGCATGTTGAAATATTTCAAGATAAACAAAGAGAAGTCAACTCTGTGACTACTGAGGCTTACAGGGACTGGTGAAGGAATTAATAGTTTCATTGTCTCTTGAAGAGAAATTGCAAACTATTTCACTCCCCAAGAAGTGGATTTCTTCTTTAGGAGTCATTTATTCTTTAGCTATTTGAATACACTTTAGCTCTTTCCATAAAAGATTTGAGGTAGCTAGAAAAAAAGAAGATACCTACAATGAGTAAGGAAAACATAAGGAGAAAATCAGGATCAAAGATAACAAATATTCCATCAATACCGGTGGACCACAGTTGCTGAGATCAAATTTCAAACTTGGCTCTGAAATTCTTGGCAATAGTAACCACATCATCTCTAGCTGACCCATAAAAGCAGGTTAGACAAACTAACCTTTGTTCTTTAAGGCTTAAACTTAATGTTTTCCTGAGCAGTCTCTATTCTATTTTGTATTTTGCCTTACTAACTTGCCAGGTCTCTCCTTCTCCTTCCACCCTTCCCTCTCTTGTTCCCTCCTTTCTTTTCTTTCCTTCCTTCTTTCCCTTTTCCCTTTCTTCTTTCTTCCCCACCCCTTCAAGAATATCTTATTAAACAATCTGGAACCTGAGAGAATCAAGCCCAGGTTTTGCCAAAGAAAAGATGACCCAGTCATGTTTTGATCTATCCACAGACTATTAATAGAAGCATGGCACCAAAATGTAGAAAGACATAGGTGAATTATTATTTATTCTATGGATAAGCTTAATCACAATGAAAGAAATCATAAAGAAAAACAATGAAAGATTTGACCACATGAAAAAACTTAGATAAAACTAAAAGGCACATAAACTATAAATATCATTTAACCAGTGACCATTTTGTTCTCTTAAAAATAATATAACAAGAACTCCAAATAATAATAATCACTGTTATTATTATCATCATTATTTGTGGTACTGGGAATGAAACCCAGGGCCTCACACATGCTAAGCAAGTGCTTTACCACCGAGCTATATCCTCAGTCTGATGACTCCAAATTTTATAATCTAGCCCAGCCCACACTTCTCAACTCTCAACTCCTATATCTATACCTGCTAAACACCTGTGCTTGGATATTTAATAACCATATTGAAATCAATAAGTACAAGACAGACTCCCTGATCTTCTTCCTCAAAGATACTCCATTCATGCTCCCATCTTACTTGATAATAACTCAATCTTTTTAGTTGTCTAAGCTCAAAACCAAAGCACTATTATTCACTCCTATCTCTTATATCCCACATCCAGTCTATCAGGAAATCTTGTTGGTTCTGCCTCTAAAGTAAATTCCAGATCCCATCACCTCTTGACACTTCAGCTGCTACCACCTTGATCTGAGTCAACATATCTTTTGCCTATTATCAGTTTAATACCCTTCTCCCTGGCCTCCCTAATTTGATACTTGCTCTTACCCCTTCTTCATTTTGATATTCTCTCTCTCTCTCTCTCTCTCTCTCTCTCTCTCTCTCTATACACACACACACATATATAATACATATTTCCCTTCTCTGGAAATCCCAAGTAGAAAGGGCATGTTCCATGGATCACCCCTCACTCACAATATAAGGCAGTCCTATAAGTCCTATAATATATATATATATATATATATATATATATATATATATTTCCCAAATATATAGTGCTGTCCATCTATTTATATGCATTTTACATTAACATTTATACTGTACTTTATGTTCTTCAATGTGCTGTACATGTAGGCACGTTTGTGAAATTCTCATCTTCCATTTGCTATCCTACAGTATAATAGCAAAACATGAAAACAGATTAGGAAAGACAATAGGTATCATAATTTTCCCCCAATGTCAAATCCTGAAGACTAACAGAGAATGCAGTCTCTGTTCACTATTTATTGACTGAAATATCCTTGATGAGTTATTTAACACTCTGTCTCAGTTTTCTAATGCTCAAATAGGGGTAACTAGCATGCATATATTACAGTGTTAGGAGACTAAATGTGATGACGCACATAAGGAGCTTATAATAGTGTAAGACACTGCTCAACGAATCTTTGTTGTTATGGTTATTATTATTCAGCTTGGAGAATATGTATCCCAGTGTACTCTCTGCTCTGATCAGTAACAGATAAGGAGCATGGCAGGGCTGTACTGGCTCACATGCCAGGACTTCAGTGGAGTGAAGTGGGGAGCTGATACCATCCCCAGATTAAGTAGCACAGTTAACTAGCCATAGATCCAACAGTATTCTTGGTACCAGCCCAGATCCAGCACTTACCATCCAATTGCTGAACTAGAATGTGGGAATATTATATCCCGGACTGGGGGATACTAGATGCTTCTACTTTTGAGAAAGCCACAATACTCTGTTTCTGCTTGAGATCACTTTTGCAAACAAAGCAGAACTTCAGCACACCCTAGAACCTCTTCCCCTTCTCTGGAAATCCCAAGTAGAAAGGGCATGTTCCATGGATCATCACTCACTCACAATATAGTTCAGTCCCTTAATACTAGATCCAATAGACCCAGGTCCTCCTGCTCATTTCATCTGGGGATTTATCCTCACCTAGGAACTCCAACAAGCAAATTGAGTTTGGAGGATAGAACTGGATGGGAGGACACAGCCACTGGGAGTTTAGGACCAGACAAAATAAGGATTCAAGAGTAGAAATCAGTATGGAGAAGGGGGAGCAAAGAGTAAGAAACTTAGGTACAAACAAAGGAGAGACCAAAGTGAAGAATAGGGAGGCTTGGTTTCCCAAACAAGTCAGAAACCCTATTTCTAGGCCTGAAGCAGGTGTGCATGGAGCCAGCAGTGGTTGAGCAGGTTTACTACCAACTCAATCACTGCTGTGACCTTGGGTCCCTCAAGTTCTCAGAAGAACTGGTGAGGGCTGAGGAACAGATCAGGAATGGGAGGATTAGGCGAGGAGAGGAAAGAAGCTGGATAGGTTGTTTATTAAACAGCCAGGCTATCCACCTGCAAATCCCAGAGCCAGGAATAGCTCCCCACATTCCTGAAGAGGCACAGGTTCTTTTTTCTTTCCTATGTAGTATAAGTACATGAAGAGGATATTCTTAGTTTTTCTTTCCACATCACCTTCAAGCCGGGATCTCATTTCTATACCAAAGAAGATTTAAACCCTATGAGAGATCATGAGTCACCAGCCAGATGAGAAATGGTCCTTGTTCCAATTTGGAGAGGCTGAAGGATCACCAAGCAATGCTAACTAACAGCTCTTGCTGTTCTATGGCACAAAATTTATGGTTCAACTGGTGTCCAAACAGTTAAGAATAACAGCTCCATTTATTGGTTGTATGCTGAGTGCCAGGCATTGTGAGAAACGCTTTGCATGCACTATCTCCTGTGGTCCCCATGACAATCTTAAGAAGTAAGTACTATTATGATAAAACTGAGGATCAGATGGGTCATAAATTAGTAAGCTGATAGCTTAGTGCCAAAATGTTAACCCATGACAGTGTGACTTAAAGACAATGTTCAGAAAAATTGTTTCACCTACTAAACTTGAGCACTCCTTCGAGGAGAGGGGAACTTAGATATCTTAAGGATGTGGCTCCTTCTTGGGTCTGCAACAGCAATACACCCAGTGTTCTTCCAGGCATCTATGTATGATTTTGCTGTCTTGCATCTTCTAGTTTTCACACAGCCTTGTGGTCTGTTGACATGATGGCTGCTGGGCAAAATCTGAGCAAAGTGGAGAATTCCTATTTATTGACCTGTAAGATTATTTTTTTTCTGAAATTGTATGTCCTATCTCCAGCTCTGGAAAAAGGCTGCAATCCCCTGTTCACTAGCATGAATGAGGCTCAAGCCCTGCTCACATCTTGATTATATATTTGATTTTCCAATGGAATTTTAAAAATTAGAAACTTTCACCCTTATATCCTTAATACCTCTAAGATACAGGTACACATACATGCCTATAAAAAGAGCCCCATGGCAGTCAATAAGAAGGAAACAACTCTCATCAAAGCAGACTACTGATTTGTGATTGCATTTTATATTCACTCAGGATCCTTTTAAGATCAAGCGTTTTTTTCTATCCCAGTATTAACTCATTTTAATATTCTCTGCCCATAGTGACTCCCAGGTCTCCCTGTTGTGCCCTGAAGATACATCCCTAGAAGAATGGGGCCTCCTCCCACGTAGGTGAACTGCAGGGATCCTACCCAACAAAAGCAGAACATAAAAATACATCAAATATGACAATACTGACTGGACTAAAGAGGCAAAATTTTTTTTAACTAATGTATTAAGTTTATTCTTCACTCATAAAAAGAACATATTTTTGGCTTTGAAATCATGACATAAAATAAAAAGGCAAACAAATGAAAACCATCAGCTGAAAGTAGGTAGAAGCAACTCATGCTGACCCATCAGCAAATGCCATGTGCTTTGGGCTATAGCGGGGGCTCTGATCAGAGCAAGAACGGAAGATGCATTGCCAACCTAACATCCAAGCCATCTGGTCAACACATATATGAAATGAATCCTCCCTTCTTCCTGCTTTCCTTCTTAATCTTTAACTTTGAGAACAATAGTCAATAACATTTTGATGCTACTCTTCCTAGTCTGTAGGATAATGTTGTTTTAACATATTTAATCTGCATATTTTCAACCTTTAGAAAAAGTAAAACTGCCAAAATCAATGGTAACTAAAAGCCCTCTCTATTTTTGGTCAGTTATCTGCTGTAGGCAGAGCTTCATATAGGAATTTTTATTGCGGATTTCTATGACTGCATCCCTAACAAGCTCAATGAACATCTGCGGCCAAAGCTTCTGCAAAGCTTCATTTTTCATATTGATTTCTGTGGCTTCCTTCACAAGGTCTTCTATATACATCTTGCAGAATTTCTTTTTCTCCTTTATTTCCTGTTTTAAAAAGAAAAAATAATGTTTTAAATCATAACCAATCCAAAAGCCAAAGCAGTGATTAGCTGAACCAGAGAAACCTGAAATTAACTATTTTGATCCCTTAATCCCTTTCCCACACACAATCTCTCTCTCTCTCTCTCTCTCTCTCTCTCTCTCTCTCTCTCTCTCTCTCTCTCACACACACACACACACACACACATATATATATATATATATATATATATATATATATATATTTAACTGTAATCACTAGATCATTACACTATTTCTCCTATCTCAGTTTGGAGGCTTAGCTCACACAAGTCAGCTGAATGCACACAGTCTCATGGCTTCCAGTGGCTAATGTGGCAGGGCACAGACACTGACAATTTTGTTGGTATTAATTTAGTTAATATCCATATATTTTAAATAGTCATACTCTTAATGTACTCTCTAGGTTAGGAAAGCATATAGTGGAATATTACACTGAAATAAATGGCCTTGATCTTTGGATAAAGTTGGAGAAAAGTGTACAAAGAGAAAATATATATAAGCTCAGGACCTGAAGGTGGCCTTCTAAATAAATAGTGTTCCCTTCCCTCTCAACTTCTGAGTCTAGCAGTCTACAAATGAAAAACCTAGTTCAAACATGACAGGGGAATTTTTGGGCCAGAAGATATTTGGGAATTAGGCCCCAATTTCATTACAGAGTCTAAAAGAAAGCCATTTTATTAGGGATAGAGGTATAACTTAGCGGTAGAGGGCTTGCTTAGCATACATGAGGCCCTGGGATCCACCCCCAGCAAAACCAAACACACACACACACACACACACACACACAGTTGAATTTAAGAATTCAACATTTATTATGACTATTAATACTGCTGGAGAGTGTCAAGGCTTGATCATGAAAAATGTCATAATATAGAAAAATCAATGTAATATCACATAATCAGAATTATAGAGAAGTAATTCATATCAATGAAGAAGGATGGAAATAACAGATGTTGATAATAGATTTAGGAAAAAGATACACTACTTAGAACCAGCTTAAATCAGAATACCAAAATAATATCAAGGTTAATTAAAAAGCTAAATTTAGAATATTATAAATATTGTCATTAAAATCATGAGGATTTTTAATTTAAAAAATGCTTATATTATAATATTAAGTACAAAAAGAAAAACTGAAATTTTGATAGGGATTGGATTAAATGAGTATGTGCATTTGTCAAAATTCAACAATAGTACACCTAAGGTTTATATTTCAGTATATAAATTTCATTTCAAATTAAGAAACTATATCAAATATTGAACTCTAATCAATGATATGCAAGCTGAATTATTTAGAAAAAAGCATATGAATGTCTACAATTATTCTGAAATGATTTTTAGAAACAACATGAACAGATGGATGGATAGAGGGATGGGAGATTCATCAATGAAACAAGTAAACTAAACTGGATAGTACAATGTTAATGGTAAAACATAGGTTTGGGTGTATGAGTATTTACCATTAAATTCAACTTGGCTGTACATTTGAAATTTTTAGTAAAAAATTGGGAAATAATACATAGAAAAATATTGAAAAAAATGTACTGAAGTATCAGTAAGAGAGTCTTCAGGTATTTTTTCCTCTTTTTTTCTATTTTTCTTATTTTTAAAAATTCTTACCATTTTTACAACAAAATGTTTTTTTTTAAAAAATTCTTCATTAATTAATATAAAATTAGTAGATCCAAATTGCACTTTCCTAGGAGAGGCAAATTGTGGAAATTTTCTTATGTTATGTAAGACATCTTAAAATAATTTCAGCATTAAGGGGTTAACATACTGATGTGATATTGTTTGTGGGCTAAAGCAACAGATCATGAACTGACCTATCCTAAAAACATGCACAAGATTTTGATAGATTATAAACAATAATGGGTCCAGCTGGCTGCTTCTTTGATGAGTCTAACTTAGCTCTGACTCTGAAACACAGTCTGGAACTCAGTCACCTGCACTAAGTTAGCTTGATGAAAACAGCATGAGCTGCTTCTTTTTAACACTCAGTGAACCTGAGCTACACAGAAACCAGCAGCATGAAGGCCAAGTGTGATTCACTAGATATCAGTAACCAAAAGAGCGATATTTTATAACAAGCAATGCATTTACACAAGTAGAAGGTACAGAGCCTATTTAGTAAATGCTCTCATATACATTTCCAAATATCTTATAATAGATTTTGAATTTAAAAAAATAAAGACAAAGTTCCATCATTAAGACTAGACAAAATTTTATAACAGTTTAGAGATAACAAAAATAAAAATTTTAAATGTTGCATTTTGTCACATCACTTACACATAATACAAATTAAAATTAACTTTTGGTAATTGACATAAGTACAATTTTTGGTGTTTTAAAATTTCCTGCTACAGTTGCTTCTATTGTTCCCCTACGACATGTTGAAACAGAATTATATTTGTTATAATAGCCCTTAATTTAGCAATTGTGTTTGAAAGAATTTTTATTTCTTCATTTATTCTCTCCTCCAAGCCAGTTACTCTGTGTGACTGTGAAAGCTCATCAGGTATCTGCCAGGATAACTCACTCTGCCTGTCCAAATGATCCTGTGAAGAGCACATAATAGATAGCTCTCTTCCCTGACCCATCAAGGAGTTCTTACTCTTTGAATTAGTCTTTTCTTTCTCAAATGCATTGATATACTTATTTCTTTTTATGCCATAATATTCCTGGGGTTCATAAAGCAAGTATTTTGCAAGTTCAATCCTAATGAGATGAACTCTATACAATAAATATTATTTATACTATTTCATGGAAGTAGAAATGTGTTGTTACAAAGATGGTTGGGGAGGGCAGGGGATGTGGCTCAAGCAGTAGCGCCCTCACCTGGCATGCGCAGGACGCTGGGTTTGATCCTCAGCACCACATAAAAATAAAATAAAGATGTTGTGTCCACCACCGAAAACTAAAAAATAAATATTTAAAAAAAAAAGATGGTTGGGGAAAATGTCAATGGTAGGATTTGTTATACAGTAATTTTAACTATCATTTTAGTTGTATTATTTGTATTAGAATTTAATCTGTATCTCCATTTTACAAATGGGAAACAAGGTCAATGAAGGTCGAGACAATTTCTCAGGATTAGACATCATGTATTAAAACTTCCCTAGAGAAAGAATTGGCAGTCTAGTTGAGAGATGGCCTATATATATAAACAGCTAACTAAAATATAAAATAGTAATTTAAGTGCTGAATGAAATGATCATCCATTAAATATAATCAGTACTCTGAAAAAGAAAGCATTCTTTTTATTGGATGGTCAAGAAGTCACCACAATATATTGTAAAATAATCCATGATCAGAAAACAGAAGGTCTCAGTTCTAGAGGCAGATCAGTCAAATGTTCACCTGTGACCCTCAATTTGTTTCCAGTTTTCCTTATCTAAGAACAGGGCCAGATTCTTTAAAGTCCTTTTCAGCATTCTAGGTCCATCTTGAATCTTTTGTAGGTGAGTCAAGAGAATGGATGGACAACTACCAAGTGACAGAACTTTGCCAGGAACAATGAAAGGGTCTACTTAACCTGTTTTGTGAGAAACTCACCTGAACTTATTTTCTCAACAAGTCAGTATGTACAGAGAAGAGAGACTGAGGACTTTGTGCTGTAGTGAGTTAAGTATTTTTCAAGATGTGGGGAGCGTGGTGTAAGTGAAGGAATGCTGGCCTGTGAGTTAAAAGAGAGTGATTAAGGGACTTGGGCAAGGTCTCTCAGGTAATAAGTGGTAATCAGGGGCTCAAGTCCAAGTCTCCTGACAGTAAGCCTAGTGTTCTTTTCAAAATACTATGTGGCTTCAGATTTCTTCTTTTCCCTTTGAATTTCCTCAAAACAGGAGTCAATATTCCCTGTCTTTATCTCTTCATTGCTTATTTATTGATCAAACCACTTTAATCAAGACTTTGCTTATATGACTCCACTGCAGTTATTTATATTTAAAAATAATCTCAATGACCTTGTCTGCTAAATTTATCAAACTTTTCCTTTACAGTTTGTGCACTTGGAGTATTAAAAAATCATAACCTATGCAACCAAGGTCATACAAATTGTCTCCTATTTTTAAAATAAGAACTTTAAAGTTTTGCTTTTTGTACTTGGGTTTTTATTTGATCCGGAGTTAATTTCTTGTAGTATAGTGTGAATGTGTTCAATATGTTTTTCTGATTGGAGATCCCATTTCTTCAGTAACACTTATAAACAGTCAGTAGTTTGTAATGCCTACTACCTGCATACATTTCCCTCACCAGCATGGCATACTCTGGCCCTCTGTTTTGTTCATGAGTCTATTTGTTTATCCTTATATTGTTTTAATTACCACCACTTTATAATAATGCTTGATGTCTGCTAAGGCAATTTATTCCTGCTTTCCTCTGGAGTATGATAGTTCCTTTGCTCTATCAGATAACTTTTAGGATCAGGTGGTAAAGTTCCACAAGAACCACATTCACACTTGAATTAGAACTGGCATATATTTATAAATGAATTTAGGAAGAATTAACATCTTTTTAATGTAGAACATTTCTGTACATTAACAAACTATTTAGTTTTTCCCTAGTGACTTTCAACTAGAAAGTCATAATTTCCCCAATAAAGGGCTTATATGTATTTTATTACCCACTCCTCAGTATTTGTTGTTATAGTTAATGGTATCTTATTTTAAATTTACTTTTGAATAGACAATACAACAATTATTAGGCTGTTGGCCCTTTATCTTTTTGATTTCTAAAAGCTCTTTATAATTTAGGGATATGAGTTGCAAACTATTTTTCCAGTTTGTCATTTGTCTTTACTTATTTGATCCTCATGAAGACCTTTCTCGTGGATTTTTCTAGAATTTTCATGCTTTCACTTTAAACTTTAAAATCCCTGACCAATTTGGAATTTCAATTGATATAAGATGGTATGTCTGAATCCAGTTTTTTTTTTCAGATAGTTCTTCAGTTATCCTCAAATCATT